ACACACAGGAAACGTAAGATCCAAAAGCAGTATATTTAATGGGTAATCCGTACTCACAAACCAGTCCAGGCAAGGGTCAAAAGTCCAATAAGGCAATCCAAAACATGAAATACAGACAAGAACCAGACAGATACAAATACCGGAAGTGTGGGGACATAATACAAGGACTCCGTAACAAACACTGAAACTAACAGGGTATATATACACAAGTGCTAAACGAGGTGACGAGAAACAGCTGAACACAATGAACACTCAGTGACAGATAGGATCATGGGAAATGTAGTAACAGAGTGTGGGACACCGTGCGGGAAGAGGACCTCTAGTTGTTACCCAGGAAACACAAACCAGACACTGTGACACTTATGCCTTCCTGGTCATGACGTCACCCGCCCGTGACGCTCATTCTTTCCATTGGACTAGTTGACATTGATGCTCAGACGCATTCACGCTGGGGGCGTTCCCAAAGCGTCAAGTGACGCATCGCGAGTTCCCTCGAAAGGGAACTGCGTATAGTTTTGTCTCACCAAGACTTCAGTGGATTTGTCTTGTCTGGCAAACTGCAAATGCTCTAAAAATACTCTCTTGAGAGCAAATGCGGATTGCGAATAAAACTGTAACAAACTGCAGCATTCGTCCATAACATTTACGATGGTTTTACCTTGTAACAGTTCAGCTTCGTCTCACCACCACTGTTATGGCGCGCGCCGTCGCGATTATGCCTCGCCTGAAGCAAGAAATTTAAAATTAAAGACACATTCCTTTACTAAATAAACGTAACGTTTCGGGGGGAAAAATAGTGGAACCAAACACTTTTACATCACACTAAATGTCCTGATAACACGCAGTTGTTAACAAGTCGATATTGCATCTGACATGCCTATGTTATGAATTCTGTTCAAAATTTGAATCGCTTAAAACAGCATTAAGTGATACATTATATTGTAATATTTATGGAGGTAAATTTAAGTTAACTTACCAAGAATTGAGTAAATAGTGCCTTTTATCTTCAACTCTTCTTGCCCTGCTCCAGTCCACCAGTTTTCAAACCTGTATTCAGCCCGCGCAATCCCATAATGCCACATCACAGTAAATTGTTGTAAAACGTATGAACTACAGTAAAAACACCTCTTACCTGTAAATCAATTTACAGTTGACAGGGAAATATACTGTAAACAACTGTAATACTCTTTTTGACACATAATGCATTGCGAATTACAGTAATAACTTGTAAAATGATAAAACAATATATTTCTGTAGAATTTTGCTGTAGAATCTACAGCAATTTGTTACAGTGTAGGGCTTAGGTTAGGGTGTGAATAACTGCGAGTAACGAGTCTCTAAAGCATGTTGCTTTATTCATAGAGCAAAAACTTTACTCTAATGCCAGTGCCGTAACAAGTGGCACAGCAGCAGTCTTATAACTAATGTAACTCAAAGTCAAATACAAACAGATTATTTCCATTCACTCTAATTTCACGCACCTATGAGTATCAACTTAAAATAAGAAAGCATAGTTCACTAAAAATATTATATTCATTGTCTCATAGACTAATTTAGGGGATTTTACATGATTTATTTAGGTAGATTCTGTAAATTAAGCTTTAACTACTCTAATATTATGTGTATGTAGTTTCAAGTAAATAGCAGTACATGTTTACAGTGTGGAATATGAAGACCCTGATATGGTTGTTTAAGAATTAAACAAAAGCTACACACTCCATCAATTAGGGTTAGAAGAACTGTTGCCAAACTTATAACATGATAGAAACATAATAATCACTGCAATGTTGATCCAGTCATAGACTCTTAAGCATTTTTCCCCCTGGCAGTGTATATCATCTCAAATCTTCCTTCAACTTTCAGATAAAAATTAGTTTTGTTGTTTTCTGATTGATTATGAACTCAACTTTTCACATCAAGTTTTTTCATCAGTGTGTGAGTAAAACCGAGTGCATTTGGTCTCTTTGCATTGGTGCATTCTTGCAAGAAACTTTCTGCAAACAAGACTGCGTGGCGCTCTTTGCTTTAGATAATTATGTGTGAATGAAAAGCAAACATGACATTGTGAATGTGATCTTTTGACACCTACGAGAGAAGTGCTTGTCCTCTGGGTTTAGTAAAAACTGAGCAGCTGTTATTGGGGGAGGAATTACTCCTGATCCGATCACATACTGTCTTCAATCGTCTGTCATGCCCTTCAAGGACCTAAAACTGCATCAGCGATTGACTGATCGGAGGAGATCAGGTCCAAATCCTGTCCTCATGAATGTGTTACACAATTATACTCACCAATCCAGTTCTGGCTTTTTAGTTTGGTCTTTTTGCTGTTAAAACAACAAGATATCAAATCATATAGCACATATTTATGGGAAGTTAATGCAGGATCAATCTATGGAAGCTTGTTTCCGCCACTGAAAAAAAAACAAAAAACAAATTGCGACTTTTTATCTCACAATTGCGAGCTATGAAGTCAGAATTGTGAGAAATAAAGTCGCAATTGCGAGATATGAAGTCAGAATTGTGAGAAATAAAGTCGCAATTGCGAGATATGAAGTCGCAATTATGAGAAATAAAGTCGCAATTGCGAGAAAAAAAGACAGAATTGCGACTTTTATCTCATAATTGCGACTTTACATCTCGCAATTCTGACTTTATAACACATAATTGCGAGTTTATATCTCGAAATTCTGACATCTTTTCTCAGAATTGTGAGATATAAACTCGCAATTGCGAGTTATCAGGCCAATTCTAAGGGGAAAAAGACTAACTTTTTTCCCCTCAGAATAGTTTATATCTCACAATTCTGACTTTACAACACGCAATTTCGACTTTATTTCACGCAATTCTGAGAAATAAAGTCAGAATTGCGAGATGTAAACTCGCAATTGTGAGAAAAAAAGTCAGAATTGTGAGATAAAAAGTCGCAATTACCTTTTTTATTTTTCATTCTGTGGCGGAAACAGGCTTCCATATCAATCTGATGACACGTGTCATAAATAAACTGGGAACTAGAGTTAAATACTGTATAGAGGATGAGATGTGGATATATGTGCTGGCTGTCATAAGGGTATCAGCAGTCAAACGTGGAAGGAATTTGATTGGAAAATGAAAATGAGATTCTTTAGAGTTCCACTGGTGGTTGCCAAATTTGACAGTACTTCGCCATGATCACAATGCTGGAGAGATTGTGGGATGGCGGGGGACTATGTACATATATTCTGGGAATGCCCCAAAATACAAGTGTGTTGGCAGGGGGTTAAGAGGGAAAAATGAAGTTTTAGAAAGAGATATTCCAATGCACCTATATATTTTTTTTGCTTGATGGTTCCCCCTCAGATCTGTTCAGCAAATCCCACTTATTTGTATTGCATATATTGTTAATGGCAGATAATCACTGTGAATTGGATGAAGGTGCACGAACCCACTGTGACAGAATGGACACATAGACTGAAACAGATACACATATCTGAGTAGATGACTGCGGATTTGCAGTCAAAATCGGACATTTATCGACAGAAGTGGGCATTAATTGAAAATTTGCTTGAAATAAATAGACTTAATATATGTTAATGTTTGAACAATGCAGATAATGTACTGGTATGTGGTGTATTCTCTAAAGTGCTGTCAAGGATTTGTGTATTTATTTTAAGTTTATTTTGATTTATTTTTTATTACTCACTGTTTCTAAGAAAAGTTCAATAAAAACACAGTAAAAAACAACAACAAAAAAAACAACAACAACAACAAGAAATCACATCTCTATTTCCTCTCTTAATAACTGACCCTTGTCTTATGGTGTATGATTTATAACTGAATGCATACCGTACACTGCATGTTTACGCTGAAATCCACTTTTGCTAGTTTAACGACAGGAAAAATGGTCGGCGCTCCCGGCGCATGGTCTAAAAGGGTTGTCTCTATTCTCTTAATGAGGAATGGGTGTGTTTTGGCCACAACCTGCAATAAAACCAATCACAGGCGGATTCGCTATTTACATGGCAGAATTTGATAGTGGAAAGACTGAACGCTTCTCTAGAGAGGAGACGGATCTGCTCGTGCGCGAGGTTAAAGCGCAAGCAGACCATCTACGGGACAAAGTGTGTTGTGGACCCGCCTAGAGGCGCACATTACTAACGCGCTCTTTAAATAACAAAAATACTGCACCATTGCCTTTAGAGCAGGTTTCAGTTGGTCAATGGATCAGTCTATTTCAGTTTCCTCAAAATAGCAACGCTCCAACAATGCGCCTGAACACACACCTCGTTCTCAGACCAGCCGCCCATGGACGCAAACGCATTTCCTATTTAAACAGTGTGTGCAGGACGTGAAAATGAGAACTGAAATTAGCAAAACACACTTTTGGAGATGGAGCCTGCTCGCATTTTTCTACAGAAATTGAGGGAAAATCACAGAGCAAAAGAAATGTTTGGAGATTTATAGCTGCAGGCACGTGAGAAGGTTAGGGGGGGGGGGGGGGGGGGGGGGGGATTTTGAGCACAGAGGAACCCAAAATAAATATTCCTAATCCCAGTGTGCTTTTACACTTGAGCCACAGATTAAAGCTGCACTGAAATAAACGAGCGGCGAGATTGGCTCTTGTTTTTGAGCGGTCCGGTGGGTTTCTGTTTTGAGAGAAGCATAAAGTGAACGGGTTCACCCCTGCTGTCGCCTGCTGGGTCTCATTTGAGGCAGGAGTTTGGGGAGGGATATGCAAATGCCCCGTCGGAGCTGCAGCTGCAGGGTCGAGCTCAGCGGCCCACTGTTGACTGAGGCATCCGAGCGCTCGCAGCGACTCCTGCTTTAGGATTCTGCTACTGCTCTCCTCTCTCTCTCTCTCTCTCTCTGGTGTGTGTGTGAGCGGTGAAGTGGGCAGGATGGTGCCAGAACAGCAGATGTTTCGATTGCAGCACTGCTTGCCCGCCAGCAACTGAAGTCAGTGCTCCAGAGAAACCTTGTGGGACTCAGCAAGGAAAACAAGCAACACTTCACAACCTCCTCCCCAGCTTTTGCTTTCTACACACTTTCTCCGTCTTCTTCCTCCACTTTATGGCTTTTTCTGCAAGTGTTTTTGTCAACCTTTGCCCTGCTGCTTGAAGATGAGGGGGATATTCACATGTGGGGGTCTTCTGCTGGTCACGTTGCTACTGACTTCAGTGGATGCCAAAGGAAATCTCTATGGAAGTCCACACAGATACAACCTACACAAGTCTGGGAGCGTCCCGCTACACAACCCTGGAAAACCAATGGGTCACCATAAGTAAGTAAACAGTAAAGTTAGTATGTGTGTCTGTGTGTGTACAGAACAGAAGCCCAATGGATCAAGCATTAGACAATAGGCTGTGAGTGTGTATGGATGTGTGTGTGCACAAGTAATGAAATGTCAAGCAGTGACAGCAGCGTCCTGCAGTTTCATATGCTTCATCTGCAACATTTTTCTAGTTTTAGGAGCTCAAATTCAGTGAGAGACTACATGTAATGTTTGTAGTTAGAGAAATTCATTTGTCTCACCTCAGGACTATTGTAGAACTGAAAAAAGTGATTAATATAGGATGCAAACTTTTCTAAAATGACAATCATCACAGGGCTTAAAATGGACATTTGCATTTTATGATTATATAAATTTTAACAACAACAAACAGTGGTCACACTTTATAATAGGTGGCCTAATGAAGTGTGACCTCACTAATAATAAATACATACATGACGACGGGTACATACATAACTGTGCATTGTTCTAGAAAATTCCCACATTTATTGCCGATGAGTTTGATGTTTGGTTAGATTTAGGAGTAAATGTAAGATTAGTTTTTAGTGTGACGGTTGTTACAGTTAGGAGTAAAGTTAACGGTGTAACTGCAAATATTAATTAAATGTAATTAAAGTCCTTTAAATGTATTGCAATGCACTAACATGTACAGTATGTGCATAAGTTAATTGTATCAAATGGTTAAGTTAAGGCCACCTAATATATAGTTTGACCAAATTTTTGTCAATTACTCAAATTTTATATCTCGACAATGGATGACTATATATATCTCATCAGCATCTGCCAACATTAACGATGTATCCAATGTCAAGGTTTCCTTAATGATCAGTCATAGCTTCTGAGATTGTTTTGTGTCACCAGATATTTGGAACAATCCCTAAAGAAATAGCACACATACCTCTGGTTTCACAGACTAGGCTTAAGCTAGTCCCAGACTCAAACGCATGCCTGAGCTGTTTTAACTGAAAGCAGCTTGCACTGACGTACCTTCAAATATATCAGTGCCATTGTTTTGTGTCAAGATGCACACCATGTTTTCTTCCAAGGAATGTTTATAAAAGCTACAATGTCCTAATTGAACTAAGACCTAATCCTGACTTAATCTAAGCCCAGTTTGTGAAACCAGGCCTTGGTGTATACAGTATACTGTTGCAATACTTCATTTGTAAATGAATAGTTGCCCGATCAAAAACAGCAATTAAAATGCGCTGTGATACTGACCATACGACTTCAGTTTCTCCAGTCACTAAAGTGATAGCACAACTAAATAAGAGCATATTTCAACATTTTTAAGAGTTTAAGAGTTTTTGTACGGCGCTAACTACCGCCTAGTGTTTTATTCTGTCACATATATAGCTACTTTGAAACATTTTAATATGCGTGACTCTCTTTTTGACATTTTGGCGATATTAGCTTTCTTTAATATAATAATATATTATAATATATTATAATATATATATATATATATATATATATATATATATATATAATATAACATAATAATCATTTTTATATAATAATATATCTAAATGTCAGATATATACACACTACAAACTTTCCGATGCTTACTGCACTCAAAAATAATCAGTAAGCACCAACAACAAGAATGATTTTAAACTTAAGAAAGCTTATTGGTTAAAATATATATGCTGAGGGCCAACAGCAAAACATAACCTCCAAATGCATCTGCATAAACCCGCGCTCTTTCTGTTCCACACGCACACACACACACACACACACACACACACACACACACACACACACACACACACACACACACACACACACACACACACACACACACACACACACACACACACACACACACACACACACGCACACACACACACACACACACACACACTGTCACCATGTGATGCACTTGTTAATGACGGATCGTTTAAATCCAAAATCTGACATTTTGGATCCGGGACAACCGGCCTCAAATTAAGCACTGGTCTGAAGTCATTATAAATGTCCTAAAATCAACGAGGTTTCGTTCCAAAAGCAGCTCTGGAGCAGTATGAGTCAGAGCGAAAGATAAGCTCTCGGCATGTTGAGAAAATTCTCATCAAAGACCTGTTGGCATCTAGAAATCCTGAAATGCCAGTGGTATCAAATGCAGATCGCTAATGTTGGCAGTGATGTTGTATCTGTCCTCAATGACCCATGTTCTGAGCACTCTCTCATACCACACAAACCATTTGTGTATCTGAACATGTTCATCTGGTCCCTCAGGTAAATCACAACAGCCTGTTTATCTCCTGTCTAACTCTGTTTCCTAAGAGATGCACATGTAGGCGTTTCCAGGCTTCCTTGGCATGCTCCCGATTCAAAAGCTGACGATTTATGACAGCAAGGTGATACTGCCTTCTAAGATAGCTTCTTTTGTCCACTGTCTAAGGCAGCATCTCATGTATTCTTCAAAAGGCAATCCCAGAATGCATTGCGATGACCCCTGTGAAGATATTCCATACAGTGTTGGACAACAAAGGGAAATTATATGCTTTAACGACCCTTGTGTAAAAGAAGTATAATTTAGCATACGTTTAAAAGAGCACTTATTGCGGAAATAATATTCTTTTAAATAATTGCACATTATTTACTAATAAATGAAAATGTATTATAGTTTACATTTATTATAAATGCAATTAGTTGAGCTTAAGGGTGCTTTTCGACCCACTTAAGTAGGACTTAAATACATATTTATATGTAAGTTCATATAACTTATATTGCTTTGGAGATATGGTTAAGTGTACTGTCGAATCTACCGACAAGCATTTAAGGAAGCATTCTATTGAATACTAATGTATCATTACAAACAAAATGATGATTTTACAATTTAGTATTTTACTTTAAATGTAATATCAAATAACTCCCACTACAGGTAAAATAATAATTGAGCACTTTACATGTGCTTTAGTATGTTCATCAACTTATTACAATAAGTGTGTTTTAAAAACATTGATTTAAAATGTACTTTAAGGTAAATCTTTAAATCTGACATTATTACAAAGTGTAGAAACTAAAGTGTTTTAAGAAGCAGTCAGGAAAGTGTGCTCTCTTTAAGTACACTTAAGTGGCCTTTAATTGATTTAATTAATTGGTAACACTTTATTTTAGTGTCCTTGTTGCACAAGTTACATGTCGTTACTGTAGTAATAACTACAGTATAAATCATGCATCATTACATGCAACATTCAATACAATTAGGCACACTTCTTTGTAAAAAGGGAATATTTGACCTGAATATGAAAATTCATCATAGAATCGGACTCATTTTGTGTTAAATTGAGCATGGAGTGAAGCGTACCCCCTTCAGTTAGTATCTCGTCTTCTCCTTTGCTTGGTTTATCCATGCATTTGTTTGTCTATGAACAGCTCGTGCATGAACAGCTTGTGACAGCTACACTGGGGTGCGTTTCCCAAAAGCATCGTTAGCCAAATCAAGCGTAGCGTTAGTTCTGACGGGTCACGTCAGTCAAGCTCGCCTCACAGACGTGCCAGCTTGAGGAGCACACATCCCTTTTCTCAGACATTGCTGGAAAGTTTGCAGTTCGGTCACATATGTCGATACACTCAAAAAAATGATATGTTGGCTTTAATTAACTTTTTTTATGTAAACAGATTCCACATAACTGGGTTACGTTAAACAAACATAATTTGTTCATGTAACTTCAACATCACGGAATTAAGTCATTTTAAGCGACCCAATTAAACTCTGAGCAGAGTGTTAAATGAACACTGAAGCAGTGTTAAAGTTCATGAGATAATTAAGTAAATAATTTAGTGATGATTGAGCATTATTGAAGACACCTGATGTTAACAAGCAGAATACCGGAATTGGTGTTCCGGTTGAGAATACCAGAACACCATTATGGTGATCAGTGTTTGTTTTAGTTGGGCTCTTGACCCTTAAATCGTTAACTTTAGATTTAGTTTGGCTGCTGTATCTGAGTTATGACAGCCAGAAGAACAAATAGAAAAGGTGATCTGATGGTGTTGGTTGTGTTTTAACATGATCATTATTTCACAATCATTTGACCTGAACTCATATAGAACCCAATTTCTGAGTTAAGTGTACCTTATGAATTATAGCAGCACTATCATTGTAGAGCATACCATTTTTATCATTTTCAATGAAATCCAAATGATCAAATCATTAATAAAGAAAAAACTTCTGAAAAACATTTGTATGCAGGCAAACACAGACATCAAGAATTAACGTATGAATCTCAGCAATGGTGACAAAATAATCACCTAAGCTCATTATTTATTCATGCAGCAATGCATGATGGGAGCCATGAATGAGTTTTGATTGGTGGCACCCAGAATGAACTGCAACTTGCTTTATAAGTGTCACCATTGTTGAGATTCACAGGCTGAATCTTGATGTCTGTGTGTGGCTACATACATTTTATTTTTTATCGTAGTTCCTCTTTGTTTACTTTTTATTGATTTGATCATTTGGATTGCATTGAAAAGGCTAAAAATGGTATGCCCTACAATGACATTGCTGCTATAATCCATAAGGTAAACTTAACTCAGAAATTGGGTTCTATATGAGTTCAGTGATTCAGGTCAAATGATTGTGAAATAATGATTATGTTAAAACACAACCAACACCATCAGATCACCTTTTCTATTTGTTCTTCTGGCTGTCATAACTCAGATACAGCAACCAAACAAAATCTAAAATTAACGATTTAAGGTTCAAGAGCCCAACTAAAACAACACGGATCACCATAATGGTGACCTACAATTCCGGTTTTCTCCTTCTGCGATTCTGCTTGTTAACATCAGGTGTCTTCAATAATGCTCAATCATCACTAAATTATTTAATTGGATCACTTAAACTGACTTAATTCCATGATGTTGAAGTTACATGAACAAATTATGTTTATTTAACGTAACCCAGTTATGTGGAATCTGTTTACATAAAAAAGTTAATAAAAGCCAACATATCATTTTTTGAGTGTAGCAGAGAAAGT